AGTTTTCAAATACTTGGTGGAAATTTGAAATTTTAATTAAAATTAAATTCTGTCTTTATCGATGTACTCTCTCATTGCTGCATCTATTAAAAAGCAAAAACATGTAATATATGACAGATGTGTCCATTTTACCAACAGGTAGAAACATCTCTTTGTCACTTTAGATGTCCTGTTAATTTAATGATGTAAAGTGATTACACGGGCTCTGAAACACTGGAATGCATTATGTGTTTATTACCTGATCTGTGAGTTCCTTAATGGCTCACAGATATTTTTCCTCTGAATTCCTGGAAGACCCTAACATAGTGCTGTAGAAAGTAGATAAATAGTAAATATGTCAGTCGAAGAGGTTTGTTCAGGGACATAGTGAGGGAGAAGATATGCTTAATTTGGCTAAGAACATATTTCATTATTCTGTGAGGCCTCTGAACTCAGCCAATCACTAAGCTTAGTGTTTGGAACAGAGTAGGAGGACGCTAATGAATTATTTTGAATTAATGTTGGTATTTTTTGACTAATGGTTTAGTGTGCATAGGATAAGGTCTGTTACTCTTGGCAAAAGTACCCAAGAATAGCATGGACATTACTTTAGATAAAATCCCCCAAATGTAATATGCATTGCCTGCTAACACTATCTTTCATAGTCAGTGTTCCAACAGAGATTTTACAAACAAGTAATACTAGCTAACTGAAACCTCATACATTTATTTCTTGATTCAATCTCTGTCAAATATATCATTAATGAAATGGCCAAGAGGGGCTTGGAAAAGGAGTTCTGAAAAATCATATGAGACTAATCAGAATTGAACTTGAGGATATGAATAGATATGTTTCCATGAGTGCCTATTGAAAGGATGGATGAATGTGCTATAAACAATTCTGATGAAGAAAAGTTCTATGAGAATTCTTAAAGAAAACTGACATTTAAAACCAGTAGTGTGGCTGGGCATGGTGTCTCATGCCTGTAATCCCAGTGCTTTGGGAGGCTGAGGCAGGATGATCGCTTGGGTCCAGGAGTTCAAGACCAGCCTGGGCAACACATTGAGACCCTGTTTAAAAAAATTAAAAAATTAAAAAATAAAACCAATAGCATCTTTTATGAAATAGGGAAAAAGACTATTCTGATTGGATAAGTACAATGGCATTATCTGTATCCTAAACAACATAGATTTCATCAACGTAAAATAAGATGCTCTGTGTAAGTATGTACACCTAAAAGATATTCATAGGAACACACAATTTACTTGGGAAATTTAAAAGAACCCGGGAATTACATATAAACTCCTCACACAAAAAGGATCAAATGGACTTTCTTCACTGATAGGAGAATACAAAAATCCTATTACCTCCTTTATTCCTGCCCTCCTGCATCAAGAAGCAGCCCTCGTTTCTTTTACATTAACAGCACAAGTATTGACTGTATCCCAATGAACTTACTCAGATAAACACAATGTGGTTTTCTTTTAAAATAAGACTTTACTGAATATATCAACAAGGTACTGTATAGTGTAGAGTGAAGTTTGTCGTTTACAAAGTGTGCGACATGGTAGGTCTCAGAGGATGTGTGATGCAGAATCTTCCAGCCCCTTGTCAGAGAGAACACGCTAAACAGAAACCAGAAGCAAATCAGCATATGGTTCAAACAAGAACAAATCATCAGGTTAACTTTCAGTGAATATACACTAGTCCCGTGAAGGACACTCAGTTGGCGATGCCTTCATCTTGCCTTTAACAGTTATAAATCTTACATTCCAGGAACACCTTTACAAACACCCCCGTGTGTGTGTGTGTGTGTGTGTGTGTGTGTGTGTGTGTACACCACGTGCATGTTTGATAGTAATTTTAAAATGCCTGTTGCAATGGTCTTGCTTTGTGCTCTTCTGGTGGGTATGCAGCTAGGAAAAAAAAAAAAAAAAACTATAGAAAAAAATCTGATTTGTTGTAACAACGGTATCAGACATGTACAAAACTTTCTCCACAGTGACAAGCATTCCCCACTGCTAGAAACTGTCTTTTGCCCCTGCTGAAGAAAACAGAGAAGGATCTAGGTTATACCTTCTTAGCATTCATATTTTACTTTAAAAAGAGCATCAGGCAAGGTTTGACAAGACCAAGAACTGTTTTGTCCTGTGTATCTTTTTCCCTTTGGGGAACTGTTTTCTGCTTTGCTTTCCCATGCGGCTGGAATGGTAAGTCGTGAGCAAAACTGCTATTCTCATGTTCTAAGTTAAAATGTAATGTCTCATTGCTATAGGTTAGAGAAAAATGCTCTAAGCAAAGACACCAATGGAAATTAACCACTTCACTTTTCAAAAGCTGCGATGGCCTCTGCAGCCGAGATCTGCTGATCAAGTGAAGCATCCACTCCCTGTAGACTACAATATTGCCTCGTGTTCAGAACGGACGCTTTGCTCGCAGCATGAAGTTGTCCTCCCCGGTGGGGAAGGAAGTTCTGATTTGTGTAAAATGACTAAGACCATTATGATAGGTGCCAGTAGAAAATGGAGCTGTAATATTAGCTACTTCATTAATACTTTTTATCAGACTGGTCACATTATACTTTTTGTTTAACCTCAGGGAAAATGTCTAATATATTTTCAACAAACATCCAGATAATTAGAAATATTTCTCACAGGGGAGAATGTTTTTCATTTGATACACAAGGAAAATAGGCAGGGGATACATTTCTTGTATCTGCCTTCAACTGTCCCATGCAGTGGGCTGCTAACGCATCTGACAGTGTTGGAAAATAGCCCAGAGTCTCTCTATAATCAAACATACCTCCCTAAACAAGCAGGTATTAAAAACCACCCTGGCTATAGACAACTGTCAATATATCCTTGTGATCAAGACTCTGCCTCTTCCTTTTCAATGTCTTCTGTCAGTGACAGTTAGTGACCAGATTCTATCTGAATCACCTCATTTGGTCAGGTAGCATTGAGCTGTTTATCAGCCAGTGAGCACAGCTTTTTTTCCATGGTCTTGGCCTGAACTCTCAACCTTGACTCTTGGCTAATCATCTCAAAATACATCATAATGACAGCAAGAGAGGCCCAAACACAGAGCAGATATATCAGCAAAAATACATTCCTGTGACTACAAATGCCAATCAAAGCAGAATCCCCCAGGGACAGTGGTTCAGCAATTTTCGTAAGACACATTAGACATCACAGATTCCATCACATGCTTTCTATCCTGGTGCAGGTGAGGTTGTAACCAATGGGAGACAGATTTCAATCTTAGCAGTCTTTGTCATGTTGTGCACAAGATGAAAATAAAGCCTATTACTAGATTCAATCTCTTCAGGAACACCTCCCGCAAAGGGACCCTGTCAGACCATCTTAAAGCATTCCACATGACTGTCTCCATTGTACCACTGAAGCCCCAAATAATTCTGTAAACCCCATAAGAAATGACAGGAACCTCTTCATCCTTGTTCTTCCTGGCCCAAAGCAGTTTCAGCAGCCAAAAATCCCACTGGGGGTTAAACATACAATACAAATAAATGAGAATGATTATTTTGTGAATAACAAAAATAAAAACCCTCAAAAGTCAAAGTACCATCATTTGAATGCACAGTTTTATCTACACAGCCAAGGGGAAGAGGACAGTGGAAAGGAATTATCCAGGTAAGTACACAAAACCCCCATGTCATTGTCTTGATTTTCAGTGTCTCACAGACTCTTCTCCCTTCCCTGTGTGGACCTAACTTAAAAACAAAAAAAAACAAAAAAAAAAAAACAAAAAAAAAAAACAAAACAAAACAAACAAACAAAAAAAAAAAAAACCAGCCAAAACCTTCTAACTAATAGACTAAAACGGAAACCAGAGTCACTTTAGAATTAATTTAAATTAATTCATAGCTAAGTTCAGCTCTACTGACTGCACAGTTTCAATTCTTGCATCTACGACTTACAGTTGCAGTTGTATTTTCTGCTTATTTGGAGGGACAAGGGAGATTAAAACATATAAGTTGGGGTATATTATGAAAGAGAATAAAGCTCTTACTATAAAGAAAAAGTTGCATAGCATTTTATACCTAAACTTTTACAAAGAAGACACATCACAGTTTTATTCTGCTGAGAGACAGAGAGAGAGAGCAAGTAAGATGATTGTGACATTTTCTTCATGGGTCTCTATAATGGCCAGTGGTGAAAGAAATATGAAGCACAGAGTGAAATGTTTAAATATGATATTAAAAAGACTTTTTTTCTTAAGGGAGTCATTTTTGATAATGTACGTGATCCATAGCCCTTCTATATCTAAGGATGGAGAAGATTAAATTACGTGTTTTCTGAAGATGCTGCCTCAAAAATCTCTGGAATTAAGCATGGACGTCCCTCTCTTTTCTATGTTCTACTCTGCAAGGATTAGGGGAACAAGTCTTCACTCACTCTCTGCCTTGTGTTTCATGGGTTGTCCTGCTAACATAAGACTGATTATCCCTCCACAATTTTCGAAGTAGAGGAACATCCATGATGGAAAAGGAACAAATGAAATTTCAAAAGTGGAACAAGATCAAAGTCAGTCCAAGTCGGAAATCAGGCATTGCTTTCAAAAAACTTCATTATTTTGGCCATCTTTGATGTGTCCTTACAGAATTATTAGCAGTGAAAATTAGTATGCATTTTAAAATGTGTAAGTACATACGAATATTTTGTGCAGCCAAGACTGGCATCCATAATTTTCCTTGAAATACTGAGCAGAGGGAGAAAAACAAAAGTGGCACAAACAATTGATTATGAAAATATATGGGAGATGATTGGAAGACAAGACTTTGCCAAGGGATAAAAGATATTACTTCAAGCTATTTCAACATGATACTGACAAAGTCGGCTGACATTACGGAACCACTGATCATTTGTTTTTGTCTAAATAGCAGGGTAATTTTTAAATAAGACATCGGTGTATTTTCCAAATATTGATCACCTGTTGGTCTATATATCATGTTGACATAGCCTCAATGAATCTACCCAAATAATTCTCGTTATCAAAAATAATTCCATTCAATATAATTCTTCCCTTTATTTTATTAGCCTCTTCTAAAAAAGTATTCTAGAATATATCTCTGTTGAATGTGATTCAACCTGACATATGATTTGAATAGTAACACTTTTAAAGGGAGTTTTCTTTCTACAACATCAGACCGGTCCCTGAAGATGACTGAAATCAGACTCAAGTCTCTTAACTCTGTTATCACATAGGGGCAGGGAAGCACAAAGCGTGATTTTTACGTTCCCAGTCAGAAAGCCAACCCCTGTGTTTACAGGTTTTTTCAAATTTCATCTCAATTTTCTTGATTCTGTCAGGCCGGGTTAACTTATTGCACCGGAACTGACTTCCTCCTGGTGCTTTCAGCATTTCCCACACTGGGTCAAATCAGGGTAACTACCTCCATTCTTACATGCTAGAATTTTTTTACCTGTCTTCCAGACCCGGAGGCATAGAAATCGTGTGAAAATATCTGGGCCATTTCTTGTTTTACGCATATTATTCCTCTTACCCTGATGAGTCAATTTAATCTGCCCTTTCATCTAACCACCAGGAATTTATTCTGACAGCTTCAACAGCAAAGTGGTTGATGTGTATCCTAAGGAAGAATCACTCGTTCTTTTGCCTTGGCATTGGGTTCTCATTGTACAACCCTGTACAGTACTTCAGCATCTATTTTTTTTTTTAAGATTTAAAAAGCAAAGAGTTACAAAACTGTTTGTAATTAACTTGAGATAGAAAAGATAGCACTTTTTTTTTAAATCCCATTATATAGTACACCGTATAAATTACAGAGTATTCAAATGCACAAATGCATCTGTGTAACATTTATCAAATGTAATCTGCGTGTCTTTATGTGCACACACGAGTGTGTTCTCAAGAGTTTAATCGTCGTCCTTGATCACGCTGGGCCTCTGGCTGTCACGTATGGCAGTGCTCCAGGTCTGGCACGCTGCTGTTGCAGTATCGCATGTTGTTGGGGATATGGCAGTCTGTGTAATTAATGCCCCCATTTGGGGTGTAAATGGGCTGCAGTCTGAAATCTCCTTTAAGGAGCTGATCGTTATTTAAGGAGACGATCTGAAAACTGGTTTCTGTCATCTCCAGGATGGAGTTGTCCTTCTTGGTGCCTGCCTCGCAATAATCATCTTTCCGCCGGCCCCGGTTGTATTTCCACTTCTGGGAGGTGTAGCGCCCCTTTTTGTGCATGTGCCAGCAAAAGACGCTGAGCAAGACCACGAGCACGAATATCACAGCGCCCCGATCAAGCCCGCCAGCAGAAAGGGGGAGCCCACGCTGTGGGATGTCGTCTGCTCGTGGCTGGACGCCGTGTTGCTGCCGTTGTTGAGATAGGAGGCATGGGTAGTGGCCTCTGAACAAATGGTGTCCTCTACCGCGCGGTAGTTAAAAGCATCCAGTGGCACTAAACAAATCCGGTAGGTGGATCGGGGCTCTAGATTCACCAGGCTCAGGTGTTGCTTCTCACCGCTGACTATGCGCTCCTGAACGATGCCCCCTACCAAACTGTGGCCCATTTTCACCCAGGTGAGTTTGTATGCCATCACGGTGAAGAGAGAGAGCCAGCTGACTTGAATGGAAGTATCATTCACGAAATGGATAGAGAGCTGGATCCGTTCAGAGATCGGTGGGGTCACTCTTTCTCTGCCATCCCAGTCAGGAATCGTGGGAAGTTTGGATGTGGGAGGAGTTGGAGGCGTGTGGCTTCTGCTTGGGTTTGGAATGGAGAGGGTGGGAGGCTGCGTGGTCGGAGAAGCTGTACTCGGGGCTGGGGTGAAGAGAGGCAGGCCGGGGGTCGTGGTGGGACACGACAGAAGATTCATATTTAATTCCCTGACGGCCATTCCCCGGACTTGTTCGGGACCTTGGCACATGAAACCCCGCACGTTGAGAGATGAAGGGATATATTTGAGCCATTCCGTGACCCATTTAATACTGCAGTCACAAAACCAAGGGTTATTCCGAGCAGTGAGCTGCTTCAGGTTGGAGAGATTATCAAAAACCCCTCGAGTCAGCATCCGCAGCTGGTTGTTGGAGATATCCAGCCGCTCCAGCTTGCGGAGGTTGGAGAAGGCTGTCAGAGGGATGTGGTTTATCTGGTTGTCCTGCAGATAGAGCCTGATCAGATGTGTACCTGGGAGATCGGGAGGAGGGCGAGACAGCGAATTACGTACGATGGAAAATTCCTTGAGCTTGGTGAGATGGCTGAAGGTGCCCTCGGCGATACCCTTGTTGGTCAGGAGGTTCCCGTCCACAATCAGACGCTCCAAGCTCGTGAGATTCTGGAAGGCCATGTCTGATATGACAGCAATTCGATTTTCATCTACTCTCAGCTCTTGCAAGTCCACTGGAAGCCCAACAGGTACACTGCTCAGGTGATTCTTCGACAAAAACAACAATCTGAGGCTGATAGCCTCCCGGAAGGCCCCGTCTTCCACCCCCACTGTGGATATGGAGTTGTCATCCAGGTGCAGCTCTTCGAGCTTCAAGAGCTGGGCAAGAGCGGCCCGTGAAATGGTCTGAATATTGTTTTCCTGCAAATGGAGAATTCTGACATTCTTGGGAAGGTTCATGGGGAATTCGTCCAGTTGGTTGCCGTACAGGTAGACCGTGTGCACCGACTGTACACTGTGCAGTTCCGCAGGAAATCCAGCATTATTAATTTGGTTGTTGTGGAGGTAGAGTACGGTTACGCCCTCCGGGATCCCAAGAGGCACTGAGGTCAAGCTTCGCTCATTACAGTAGACAAAGTTCCTGTCGCAGCGGCACACACTAGGGCAAGCCAGGAGTTTGGACACCTGTGAGTAAAGCCCCAGGGAAATGATAAGCCAAGACTTCAGGAAAAATGCCCCATGGCTGGGGCACTTTGTGGTCTGTAGGCCCATTTCTGAAGTACAGAAATAAAATACAATGTGGTGGGGAAAATAAAAAGAAAAAAAAAAAAACCGGATAGCAAAATCAAGATGACTGGATGTGGTTCTGTCAAAGTCCAGAACTCCAGCTAGAGAGAACGTCCTGAGGGCGTATGGTAAAATAATCTCCCTGCTGTCCCTGGTCTTATCAGCCTGTGTTGCCCTCTTTGCTGCTGTCCTCCATGTGCAAAAAAATTCAACAGGGAGAATTTTCCACACTGGCAACGGGTGATGGCAAGTTATCAGCCGAGTCAACACAAGCCCAAGTGGGCAGGCAAAGCTCTCTTCTTCTTTCGTAGGTCAAGCCAGGCTTGATTAGCCTACAAACTCCTTGGTTAAGCTCAATCTGCAATCTGTAGTAGGGGAAAAAAAAGAAGAAATGATCAGTTAAAGGTAGTAATGAAAGAAGAGCCAGTGTGACCCCGAGCCTTTCAAAAACAATGAGATTGGGACAAATGTTAAGAGGCGGGGGATGGCATTAAGTGGCATTTCAAATAACGGGAATTTAGTTGAAAAGGTATTCAGGAAATAATATAGTATCTTCAAAAGAATATCATGCTGTTACCTGTCACTATCAACAATTGTATTGTGAATTTTATATCCCAATCAGTACCTTCTCTTTCTATCTAATATTTATCTATTTGCATATCCAAACACTTAATTGTAACAGGCACATTGCTGAATCCAGTCAATCAGTTAATGACAATTATCTACAAATCCTACTGTTCGTAGTCTTGTTTCAAGGTGGAGGTGATGACTGACAGCTAGCAAAAGTGAACGGAGAAATGTGAAGCCCTGCATACTTACGTATTTTACAAATGCAAAATGGAGACTAATAAAGTCACTTAAAAAGATGCATCCTTACTGAAAAATTATTCCAAGTGGATTATATTTCCAAATACATTTACTATATATGAACTTTCATATACTAGCCATTAAATAACTGTAGCTGAGTAAGTTGCCATTTCCCTTTAAAATGTATTTTAAAACTCTGATACAAAAGCTTATTCATGCCTAATGGAAAATTTTAGAAAATAAAATATAAAGAATATAGTATAATGGTGATAGAGATTATTCATGAAATAATCACCCAGAGGTAACTGATCCGATTTGCATACTTACCTCCCTTTTTTCTACACATATACTTAACAAAATTGGAATCATTATTTATTTTTCTCTTTGTTACTAAACATGTCATAACCACATTACCACATAATTTTAAAAATTATTCAAAGAAAAAAATTATTTTAAAAAAAGTAGTATAAATGTAGTAAACAGAAACACGTATGAAGGCAGAGAGACTTTTTTCTTTCCCACTTCTTGTCTGCCTTCCTCTTTATCTTCCTCCAAAATAGCTTGCACTCAAGCCACTGAGGAGAATGACCAAGCTCCAGCCCACAAAACATTTCCACTTATCTACTCCTTTGGGATCTCTAAGTCCAGATGAGATATGCCATTTTGATCCCTTGAAGAGTTGCCAAGCTCACGACTAGGGGTAAATTATTTTTCAACACTACCACCTTCCTCCGACTGTGCTTTCCTGCTTTTATAAGAGGTCTTTTAGCAAATTTTGAAATGACAGAAGACACAGTTGAGGAAGTCAAGGCAATCTACAGATAGTAATCGTGCCTTCTTGCATCAGAATGTATTCCATCTGTTTTTAGATTAGAGAGGTAAAGAAGTTAATTGAAAGGTGCCAGATTTGATTTCCCTATAAAATAAGCTAACAAGACAGAACATGGCAAGCTGCGAGTCTCTTAATTCTCACCAACACACGGAGATTGAAACAACTTACATTTAAAAGCGCAGAGGAACTATTTGAAATTGCTCCCTTAGCTATCTTTAGAAATATAATTAAAAAAGAAAAAAAAGAACACTGGAAGTGTTATTTAAGTGTCAAGGATATTGTAAATGTGTTCTATAATTTAAAAGATTGGAAGCCAAAAAAATGCCTTCAATGGTCAGAAATGGTAAAATTCACTTTTTATTGTTTAGGAAATATAAGGTGTGTGGGTGGGGATCTTTTTTTTTCAGGTAAAAGTAGAGAGATGTGATGCTTTATTAAAAATCAGGCATGGCTGGGCTTGATTTACCATGGTGGCTTACACCTGTAATCCCAGCTACTTTGGGAGGCCGAGGCAGGCATATAGCTTGAGCCCAGGGTATGGAGACCAGCTTGGGCAACATAGTGAAACCCCATCTCTGCTAAAAATTAGAAAAATTAGCCAGGTGTGGTTGGAGGAACCTGTAGTCTCTGCCACTCGGAAGGCTGAGGTGGGAGAATCTCCTGAGCCTTGGAGGCACAGGTGGGCCAAGATCATGCTGCTACACTCCAGCCTGGGTGACAGAGCAAGACCCTATCTCAATAAGAAAAAAAAAGTCAAGCATTATTTAATTTTTTATAAGACCTAATATACATTTCGCTGCTGAAAAGGGAGCCAGCTATTCCCTTAAAAAAAAAAAGTCTCTATAAACTTAAAAAATAATTCATGTAACTGAGGTGGCATCTGAAAAACGTGTTTAATGCTATCAGTCCAATGCCATCCTTAGCTTTGATTTCAAACTATGTTAATGTTCCCTCACATCTGGGTACTCAAGTGTGGCCCTTGGTCCAGCAGCATGAGCCTGAGCTGGTGAGAAGGTAGAAAAGGTGAACTGCAGGCCCAGAATCTGCCTGTTAGCGAGAGGCTGGGGTGGGTACATTCAAATTTGTGAAGCACCATGAATATCTTATTTAATCATTCATGTTTTAATTTATTAAATGTAAAATAGATGCAAGAGCATGCTACATGACTCTTTTGAGAAGAGTTAAGGCATAAGGTATACTAATCGCTTTTGTCCCGGGAGAGAGTTTCAAATAACATCTTCTATGTAAATTACATCTTCTGGGTGGAGCAGTGCAATGACTATATATGTCAGTTGGCCTTAGCAGAAAACGGGTATCTGAATTGCAAGTACTAACATCTAGTAGGACCTTAAAGAGTTACTTGTCATCACAGGGGCCCATTTTTGTAAAACATTCAAGAATAAAAAACTGGTGCTATTAATAATGACTTCCACAAGAGCTAGGAAAATAAGACTAAAGAATAAAATATAATACAGTTTTTTTTATGTTTTGTTTTTGTTTTGATTTTGATAAAGAGTCTCACTCTGTTGCCCAGGCTGGAGTGTAGTGGCACGATCTCGGCTCACTGCAACCTCCGCCTCCTGGGTTCAAATGATTCTCCTGCCTCAGCCTCCTGAGTAGCTGGGATTATAGGTGCCCTCCACCACGCCAGGCTGATTTTTGTATTTTTAGTAGAGATGCAGTTTCATCATGTTGATCAGGCTGGTCTCGATGTAATATGTTTTTGAGTATTCTACTGGAATCTTCAAATTGTGATAGAAGCAACCACTGAAGAGAATGTCCTAAGGGAGAAAAACAGTAGCACTAGGGTCTCTAAGTTTCTATGTAAAAAGAATAGATGCTTCTTGCTTGTCTTAGAGGCCACTAAGAAACAAATCAGTACTTGAGGATGATGGAGTTTACTTAGAGTTCATCAGCTAACAGCTAGAGGACATTAACACTGGGAGTAAACCAAGTATGCAGGGATGGGCCTAGAAACTATTATTATGCATCCAAATTGTAAATTTTCCACTTGCCTGAACTGTGCCCTCTGCAAGGAGAGAATAGGCCCCCATCAGCCAACCTTCACCCCCAGGCCTTGCTCTCTTGAAGGCATATTCTACTCGTGAGTGGCTTTTTTATAATTATATAAGAAGATGATGTGGTTCTGAAGAAAGCGCCTAATAAGATTACATGGGGCAAACTGTCTCTGTCTATATACCTTCATAGGAGAGGAGTCCCAACTAGATCACAATGCGTTGATGGACTATGACAAGTTCAATTTTGAATGAAAACAAACTCTCAGAGCTTTCTTTGAGCTTCTTGGGAATCCCACAAAATAATAGCCTATAGCAGATTTGTTCTGTTCCTGTATTAACAACCACTTAAACCTATCAGTGAATGTACTGTATTTTTGTTTCAATCAGTGCAAACACTAGTAAAATTACAAACACCTAGGCCATAATGATTTTTTAAATTTAAATTTTCTTTGCATTTCCAGCTGTGGTTCCTACTGAATAATGAAGGTAGAGATCCTTTTAGACTTCAAGCTGGAAACCATATTTACAGAGAAAGTATAATGTCAACAGGCATAGATCCTGAGTTTTCGTCCTACTTCTATCACCAGGAAGCAGCAGGATCCTGAGTACACATTTCTTTTTTCAAGTCTTAGTCTCCTCATCTGAAAAATGATAATAATAGTTCCTAACTCACAGCACAGTTGTTAGGATTAAATAAAATAGTACTCGTGAAAAGCGTATGTCTGTACATGGCAAGAACATAATAATGCTGATTATTCTCTATGTAATTGCTATTATTAACGATATCCAAAGAGGCGAACTCCACTATGTAGAACAAAATAAATTCAGCCTTTACCTGCAAAAATCTATGCACTTCCAACTACACAAGTTTCTCAGCCTAAGCATTACTGACACTTTGTGCCAGATAATTCTGTGCTGTGGGGCTGTGGCGTGCATCCAAAAATGTCACCAGATGTGGCCATATACAAGTCCCCTGGAGTGGGAAAACTGACCCCTGTTGAGAACCGATAATCTACACACACCTTCTTACAAGTGCTTTAGAAAGTTGGCATTATTGCCACAATTTCCTAGAGGAAATTTAGATAAATTTCTGATAACCATAACTTAAAAATGCTTCTCCCATGGACATCAAAAAGCATGAAAATGTAACATACTTTCCATTCCTTTATTGAACTAGTATATATGGAGCCCTAGAATAAGGATACAGCTGTATACAGAGCTGATGTGGGTTTTGGTCTCACGAGGCTTAGAAGTTAAGTAAGGGGAGAAAAATGAGTAGGTGGGAAATTAGGGTTCTATGTAAAGAGTTCTAAGACTAGACCATCAGGTAATTGTGGTCCTGTGGCAGAGGTCTACCCTAGTCCATGAAGTGTCAGGAAAGACTCTGCAGGGAAAGGATGGCTCTGTGAAAATCAGAAGCACAGAGAGACCAGACCCACGCCAGGGAAGAAATGTAAGTTCTGCATTCAGATCCAAGCTGCTTATAATGTGAAACTAGAGATGAATCCCAGCTCAGCTGAGAGAAGGAACACGATGTTAACTGCACAATACTTTCTCCCAAGTCTGTCTGCTTCTCACTGAGGTACTCGTGCTTCTAGAAGGTAATAAACAAACTCGTGTTTCAAAATCACTGGGCATTTCCCTTATAAGCCTAAACGTTGGTGATAAAAAAAAAAATGCTTTGCAAGATACATTTCAAATGTCGAAA